GGTTTTTGGTCTGTCCAAGATGAAGATTTTCATCTGTGAGGACAACATGGTGAATAGCTGTCCCTCCAAAACCAAAGTTCTAGATCACATGTCCACTAATGGCACATGTGGAGCTTTGGCAGCCAATCAGAATACTGTATGCAGTGAATCAGAATACGCTGGCTGATGCAACACTCTAAGTAGCGTTTTTGAAAATAGTGCAAGCTGCAACGCCAAAGCCAGGCTTTTGATGTGAGTCGATGACATGTTCCTGCTTTTTTTTTCTGTTTACATCACAGCGCTACATTTCACAAGGCATTCATCACACAAACTGACATGCTTTAAAACTGATATCGTACATCCTGACCATTAATGGACATGTCATCACCACTTCCCTCCACTATGCAGAGGTGAAGCCAAAATATGGTGAATATGGTGGCAGCAGTCTCGCTCTTTTACAACCAGATTCTGTGCAGTAGTGACCAGAAGTGGAGTGACGGCATTGAACTGCCAATCAAAGCTGTCAAATCAGCTGAAATACATGCCTTTTTAAAAAAAAATATCATCAAATAACTTATTATAAGCAAAATGATCAGAAAAATGACCACTTGTACACACATCAGCGTGATAATATCTACCAAAAACGATGGAAATGACCTGTAGGAAAAATGTATTTGATTTGTATTTAGAGTTTTTAGTTTGTTAATATTGTTTATTTTGTTATATAGAGCCGCTGTACCAGAGTCAAATTCCTCGTGTCTTACACACCTGGCCAATAAAGCTGATTCTGATTCTGACTTGTGTCCACTAAGATGGAGGAGACGGGATTTATGACCTATACTGCAACCAGCCACCAGGGGTCAACTGACGGACAGCCATCAGTCTGTCCATCATATATACAGTCAACAAGCCTGACACAGATTTGCTACCAAGATTTTAATACACCCATCTCACACAGTGTGACATGCAATGACCTGAAAGGTTGCTGATACCAGAGTGTGTATGGGCCTTAAGCCAAATGCCAAATACAGAACAAACCTGAAACTGTATGACAGGGCAAATCAGATCTGTCCTATATCGGTTTCTTCAAGGTGTTGTAGAGGTGAGACAGTGTGTGATTAGTATATCTTTAGGTACCATAATTAATGTGTAAATATGATTGTTAGATGAGGTGGATGTGTTGACTTGCTGAGCTGTAGTGTAAATGTGAACGCTGGCTGCTGTGAAGAAGATGACTTTTACCCTCAGGTCTGCATTACACCCACCTTGGAGTGAGCCATCTGTGTGTCCCTGATGGCCTGCTGGCACTTTGGCTGTCTGGGTCTTGGTCATGGATGGGGGGACAGGGACGCAGCAGCCCTGCTCTCGTCTCTGCCTGTTTCTGCCTTTGCTGCAGTTTCCTCAGCACACAGGCTATTTGTGCCATGGTAACTGTGCCAGGCTGCCAGCTCAGACGCAGATTCCACTTCTCATCTCCCTCTTTGCCAGCATGATGACTCAGCAGCTCCTGCAGGGCTCCCAGCCCCCTCCTTCCTCAACCTCAGTGATACTCCATGCTCATCAGGGAAAGTAGTGTTTTGTCATTCTCTCCTGCATCGTGACCTGAATACAAAACAGACCAAAATATTAAAGCAACCAACTTGACTAGTACGGTTTTGCTTTTTGTTTAAAGCTGTTTCAACTATCACTTTTAAAATGTCACCAAAAGCAATGAATAGTTCTAAAATATTAGGTTTAAAATGACATTTGAAGCCTTGTATACAGAAATGAGAACCACCTCTTCAAAGGTGTTAAGTCACCATAACTGTCCACGTGCTTCTCTTTTTAGGTTCAGCTGTACAAATAGCATTTGAGTGGCATGTTTAATCATCATTCACACAGCGCTATATCACTGTTCAACTAAAAAGTGCTTGTCAAGGTGTCCCTCTGGAGCAGGATCACTGGAAAGCGTATGGGAAGGCACGCATCATAAAATGGGAGGCTTGATATGTAGGATAACTTTCTAAGTCGACTCCAGCGTACTGTCCAGTGGGCCAAGTTCAGATGTTTTCCTCAGGTTGTACACACTCCAGCCGCCTTGTGTTGTGTTCAATGTGCGCTTTTTTGATTCCTGCAAGGTCAGTGCTTTTGGATCTCAAAGGGTCAGAGATCTTCATACTTAATACCTGTGGTGGAAAAAGTATTTAGATTCTTTACATAGGGAAAGTAGAAACTGTGCAAACTAGTCTGTTTAAAGTAAGAGTCTGCATTCACACTTTTACTTAAACAGTATTACCAAAGTACTGATGATGCTAATTGACCCTTTTCATGCATGTTACAGATGCCTTACTGTGTAGTTAACCTTTAAATGTTGCAGTCTCGTTGAGGAGGTGGGCTAGCTAATTTCTGCACTCGGATAGTTTACAAGATGATTTTATAAGATAATAATCATGTTTTGAGACTGGCGACCTGTCCAGGGTCCAGGGTGGACCCCGCCTCTCGCCCAATGTTAGGTGGGATTGGCTCCAGCCCCCGTGAACCTATTAAGGAATAAGCGGTATAGATGATGGATGGATGGATAATCAGGTTTTTTTTTTTGGTAAAAGCTCAGATTACAAGTAAACCCAGACTTTACCTCTTTTCACTGTCATATGCAAGTAAAGTTTAATAACCTAAACAAACAATTACCTACTTAAGGACAGTACTTAAATTACTTTCTACCTTTCCAACTGAAGACAAAGTGAAACCAATATAAATGGCTTGACCTTCACAGATTGAAGGAGAAACAGCTTGCTCATTGTTTTATATCAACCTTAGGCCACTTTTTAATCATGTACAGTTTTTATTTGCAGTATAGTTTTTTTCAGGCCTGTAACATCATTAGTTCCAATTGCATTCACACTGTTTTGCGGTTATGGCACCACATCAGAGGACACAGGAAGAGGTAAAAAAACAAAAAACAAAAGGGAAAGATGGGGACTGAGACAGAGGGGTAAATGAAAGCTCACCCATGTCAGGATGTCAGCTCTATGAGAACACATTGCAGAATGCTGCCAGAGAGTTCAGTACACAGGGAAAGAAGGTAGCAACACACACATTCACACAAGGCTATAAAGTTGTCTGTTTAGATTGCAATTAGTTCTGCATGCTCTAGCCCTGCCTCTCTTGTCCCAGTAACTCTGTCTGAGCTTTCTAATATCACTACTAGTCCTTGCTATATATTCATCAAACAAAGGTGTTAGCTGGCTTGATGACATTTTTACCAGCTACCTTGTGTGTGGAATAGTTTCTTCTTACTGTGCTTATGCAAAATAAACTGCAAATAAATATACATGCAGTAACATTTGCAAGTGTCCAAATGCTTATGTAAGCATGTGTTGGAGATCAGGTGACTCAAAGGGCCCTCGGGTTTTGAAATACATACGCTGAAATATAGTGCATGAGAGCAAACAGAACAGAGCTACTTGGTCATCAGAGTGTGCCACACCGCTTATGATAGCTTATTTAAGGCAGTGTCTGCGTGGGAGAGATGAATTGAGGCAGAGTCAATTTCAGTGTCCCGTCGAGGGTCTTTCAGCAGTAAATGTAAACAGAATGTAGAAAATCATTTATCTAAACTAACTGAGGCCGTTAAGTGGCACCTCATGTCATGCTCTACTTAGTTAATTGAGGTGAGTTATTGATCTGTCAGCAGGGGTGTGAATCAGGATATTGTGTTCTTTGTTGTCCTTCTACATGAATGAAAAATGTGTCAATACTAAGATAACCAGTCAGACAAAGACTTTTTTCCTCAGCTCTACATAGAGGCTCCAGACTCTTCTGCTTATCTCTTTGTCTTTGTTTCCTCCAGTCCTCTGGTTTCACCATAGCTCAGCCAGCCATCCCCCCGCCAGCTTGGTGCCTCTCTTCCTTCTGTCCCCTTGGGTGCTGACACCAGGCACCTTCCTTGTCCCATTTCTCTCCCTTTAGCCTACCTCGCTGTTGTAGCCCAGTCTGGCTTATGTGTCTCCCACCGTAGCCTCATTCTCTGCCCTCTCTGACCCACTGTCCCCCAGTTGCCCCCTGGCTATACCTCCCTTTCCTCCCCATGCCCTCCTGCCTGTTCCCGGCCCCCGTTGTTGCTCCACTCTTCCCTGGTCCAAAGGGAGCAGGCAGAGGTCCTGATTATCTCTGTGTGGCAGCCTCTGTTTTGTGCTCTGATTAAAGGAGCAGCATGTGGTCTGTGTGTGAGTGGCCTGTACAGACGCCGCTGTTGAGCTAATGCTAAGATTACGTGCTTAATCATTTATGTCTGGGAGACGGACACAAAGGCGTGGAGGGGGTGGAGGTGGGGGGAGTGGTGGGGTATTTATCAGTGGCACAGAGGCACTCAGGCAACACACACATGCTGCTAAGATAACTGCCCCCAGTGCTTAGTATGCAATAAATAGGGCACGCTCCAGGCTATGATGTCTCCACAAAACTCACAAATCATCTTTATAAAATGGGAAGCTTGGAGGCATTTTCCCCACTAGTGTTTACAGCACGAGTTAAACTGGTGGTCTGTTAAATTCTGTCACTGGATCAAGCAAACCAACAAACAAAACTGTTCCACATGTGTGTGTTCCTACAGACACATTAAATATTGAAGAATTAGACTCTCTAGGTCTCTAAACGATAGTATTTGGGCACCCACACTCGTTCTTCCTGCTGTGCTCCTCTCCTCCTCCTCCTCCTCCTCCTCCTCCTCCTCCTCCTCTCATGTCTGTCTGCTCCTTTCCCCTCACTGCCAAGCAGCCTGTCCCTCCGACACACACACAGACATCAATGCACGCACATAGGCAGCCAATGGGAGAGCACCAGTCTCCCCATTGCTTGCCACTCATTGCCTTGTTGCCAGGACAACAGGAAGGCATGAGACCCGATTAACTTGAACATTTCAAACTTGGTGTTGACTCTTTTCCTGAAAAACAAGAAAAGGTCTCCTTGTGTAAAACTGCTCCCTCTAATACTCAGGTTGACAGAAGATCCCGTCATTATCTGTCTGTTTCCTTCTCTTCTAGGTCTACAATGACAGTTGGGGACATGTTTGTTTTGGTTTTGGTTGTCCTGGCCTTTCCCTGTTCTAGCTTAGAAGGTAAGCCTCACCCATTCTTAGCATCTTATCACACTTTTCCAAAAGCTTTTACACATCAGACTTAAAAGAGCTGTAGCTCAAGGGAGGATCTGGTTGATTTTACCACTCTCACTACATTTGAATATGTAGCTGCAAAAGAATAAGGTCATAGCAGGTCACACCTCTGTGACCTTAACTTAGCTACACCTTAACTACATGCAGTAAAAAAAGAGGCCTAGAATATGTCTGTGTTTCCCCTTTTAGTTTTACTCTGCCTTTATATCTGTCCCCCTCGGGTCTCACTCATGAGTTTTTTCCCCTCTCACCACCCCTCCTCAGTCTGCTCCCCTCCCATTGCCTGTCTCTCAGTGTTATTTTAAACAACTGCAGTGGAGGTCGAATGCGGTGAAAAGTAGAATTATTTCTTTTTGATTGGCAAGCCACACTTGTCCTCATATATGTGAGGACATATTTTTTGCCCCTCCTACTGCTGTTTAGTCAAGGATGAGTTCTGATGTCTTCTGTGATTGGTCCCTCCCACTTTTTTTTTTTTTTTTTGTAAGTATAGGTGAGAGCAGCCTAAGAAACTCTGAATGCCTCTGTGACGGATCATCTTGCAGCAATGGGGGCCGATGTTTCGGCCCACAGTGCTTCACCTCTCTCTCCGTGATGAACGGGACATCTGTCCTTCGTAAGGGTTGCATTGTGGGTAACGAAGAAGGGTTCCTGAGCTGCGGAAGTCCACTGACTCCTGAGTTGGTGATAGAGTGCTGCTCCGGGGATTTGTGCAACTTGAACATCTCCTTGCAGTCATTGGTGAAAGGTGAGGTATTTGCATCATAATAATGTTTGAAAAATATTGAAATGCAGAAAAATTAAGAATCATTTCACCATCCTACTATCCACAGTTGGGGACTTTATTTATGGTAGCTGACCCCTTGCAGAGAGCAGTGCTCGTGGGAAGCACAGTCATATCGTAGACTTCAGAGCTGGCAGCAGAAGAGCTTCATTAACAAGCCGACTACTGAAAATTATTTCACAAATCTGTAAACGTGCCCAAGGAATGCTGCTGCAGACTTGTTAAGCAGTCAGCAGGGTCATCTGAGTTTCCTTTAAGCCTGGGTGATATGGTTAAAATCAATAACAACATATTAATACTTATTTTTCCTACATTAGCATGTAACAGGATGGCAAATATATTGGAACAAAAACAAATTTTATATTAGCAAATAGCTAATGGGAAAATATTTTCGGCACATTAGTTGTCTGCTGTATTCCATACTGACACTAATATTCTTTTACTCGCACCAGTCTACTTGAGAAGGTGGCCCATCTTGTCCACTGGCATGAATCTTTTAGCTGTTTCAAAATGCAGGACAAAGACTTTTAGTGAAGCAGCTTTTAGTTTTTATGCCGCGAGTCACTGGAACAGCTGAAAGTGTTGATATATAACCCCTTCAGCCACATTTCGTCTTTTTCTATTTTTCTGTTCATTGTCTTTTTAATAGGTTGTTACTGCGCTATACAAATAAATCTTATTTGATTGATTGACTGTTTGATATATTTAAACTTATTGAGCAGCTTATTTGATGCCTGTCCTACAAAGAGCTGTTTTCAACCTGCATGTTTTCTGATCTTAGTGAATGCCATTTAATTTAATGGATACTAATGGTATTGCTCTAATGGGCTTCTCCTTATCTTGTTTTCCTCTTATCAGATGTAGAACAGTCTGCTGGCAGACCAGTCCTCAGAGACCAGAAATGCGTGTGCGAGGGCGTTGCGTGTGAGCGTGACCGTCACTGCACAGGCCAGCAGTGTTTCTCCTCTCTGAAAATGATTGATGGGGTGGCCGTCCAACAGAAGGGCTGCCTGAGGGACGACGAGGAGGGCAGAGCCACCTGTGCCTCGCCACCCTCGTCGGCCCATGTTGTCAAGTGCTGCCAGGGCCATCTGTGTAACATGAATGTCACTGTGCAATCTCTAGGAAAAGGTGACTTTGTACTCCTTGTACACATTTCTCTTGCCTGCTGTTCACTGTAGACCTTATGATACCAAAGACTGCACAAAAGGGCTTAGGGAGCTGATATGACAACTGTATTTGCATTTGGAATTTTTTATTTTTTATTTTTTTTTTATTAACACCTTGACACGCCACATGCTTGATATTGCAATGCGGGACTCCTTTGAGGTTTACTTATTTACCAGTCATACCTTTTTTCCCTGAATCTTTTTGCAGAGGAGGTGATGAAGCCCCTGATCAAAGAAGAGCATGAGTGTGTGTGTGAGGGCAGCTCATGTGCGACAGGGAATCGCTGCCTGGGCCACCAGTGTTTCTCATCTCTGATAGTCAGTGCTGGTTCCCTGGTGCATCAGAAAGGCTGCTTTAAGGTTTATGAGCAGAGTACATTGACCTGTAAGACCCCTCCTTCCAGAGACCAGATTGTGGAGTGCTGCCACGGGCACCTGTGTAACATGAACAGCACTGTGGAGCTGCCTGTCAGAGGTAAACACTGTACTTCCCAGAATGCATCACAAGTGAAGTGTGAGAACTCTTCCTGTACCTACCTGTTGATTTCAACATTGAACTCTATTTACCTTTAACCAACTCACTAAGCCCCTTCCCAGATGAAGGGCTGACTAGATTGGAATGACCATGTGGCTTAGTCATTGCTGTGTTTTAGACAAAGTAAGGCATATTCATTCCGCTCCATCATTCTCTGCTGAGAGGGCTATATGTATGTCATCAGGTGTGAAATTGTCTGCTACTGTTCTGGATGGTTTCTGTTGGCCTGAGTTACACTTCTCTGTGGTCACACTCCTGGCTCCTCATGAAATAGAAATGGGGGAAGACAGTGGGCAACCAGAGGGAGGTTTTGAATATTATTTAGTTATGGTCCACTTCCCCGCATCCTCCCGGAGGCTGTCAGAGTTGGCTGAGGCCAACGGGTGAAGTCACCTGGACAAGAAGCACACATGAAGAGAAGCAGGCTTCTATATAGAGAACTATTGTTAAGTTTGTTTTTTGGTCACATTCACCTTTATTTCCCTCTTTATTTTTCTGTTTACAACAGCTGATTGTATTTCATAAATATATCTTTAAACTTAAATATCTTAGTTGGATCTTCATTTGGGGATAGGAGTCATGCTAATTAATTAGCATAACATAATATATCATTAACAATTAAATTAGGTCCGGTTTGATTCCCGTTCTCCCCAGTCCACATGTCAAAGACACTGAACCCTAAGATGCTCCCAATGGCCAGGTCAGCACCTTGAAGAAACAGTGCCACCAAATTTTTTTTTATAACGCCCTTTATTGTTATATGTTGTAAACCTCCACTGTCTTCTTACTTAGCTACAAATGCAATTAAACATTTTTTTCAGGTTGTCAACTTACAGCATCTCTTTCTAAGTGTTTGATTCAAGTCCAGTGAGCTTCTAGAATGTGTTGACAGTTATTCGGGTAAAAGAGTTCATTATGCGA